TTAGGTATCAATTTGTCCACAAACACATCCAGACGTGTCTATGAACAAAGTGCCACTGGCCTGCATTTCTTTCTTCTTTAGATTACCACTGAATGACACCGTGTAGTAATTCCTGATGATGGGGGGATGGCCGGCAAGTGTATGTACTACCGTGTAAGCGTGTCGTGCAGAGAGCCGTTGGTGGCGAACTGGTAGGCCAGGACCCTGTTGCTCTCGTCCGGGCAGTAGCCCATCGGCTGGATTTTTTTTTTATTTTTTCTTTTGAAAAAAGAGGATGACCTCCTGCCTCTGTATTTGGCAGATGTATGTGGTCATTTTATTAATTATTCTTATGACCTTATAAAATAGAACAATAATATGACTGAATCCGCCATCTTGACAACATCTGCCGCTACTCCTATTTAAATGATAAAGGGGTGCAGGCTGGATCACATACCCAGATCTTTCACCTAAGCGTAACATCTAAAGCCGGAGACCCCGACCAAACCATCTGCCAGGTCCAGGGCTCAAACCGGTCCGACACACTCACATGTATCGTCGCCGCCGTCTTCTACCGGTCCATCTTCAGAGCAGATTGAGGTGACAACTTTGACAGGTCCTCTGCCATCAACGCCACCACGACGCCAAACGACGACCTCCACCTACGCGAGTCTTGGCAGGTCCTCCGTCATTGATGCCACCACGACGCCAGCCGACGACCTCCACCTACTCGAGTTCATCTTCAAGCAACGGACGTAAATCCATGCAGGATAGGGCCGCACCACCGCCATCGCCCACCACCCACAAGCGCCACCCAACCTCAAGGTTTCCAAAGCGACGCCTTCAAGAAGGGAACATCGTCGTGAGCGCCGCCGCTGCCCGACAAAGTTAGGGCTTTTGCCCGGGAGACTTAAGGGAAGGTGAAGTGAGGAGATCGGTCCATACCGACGCCTCCAAAGAGGGAAACGACGCCCTCAAGCGTCGCCGTCGGCGCGGCCGGTCAGGGATTTCGCTTGAACTAGATCCCCGCCACCACCAGCGCCTCCTGTACAAAACCGGTGACCAAGAGAAAGCATGGCTCGACCAGGCTGGCCCGCACGCCGAACAGGGGAAGAGGGGGAGGCTCCAGATCGCGCGCACCGGTCGTCACAGAAGCCGCCGCAGGCTGCCAATGACCACCGGATATCGCCGCCCGCGCGGCCGGGACACCAGATCCACCTCCCCGCACGGCTGCAAGCCGGCCGTGCCTTGTCAATGAAGTTGCCGCTCCAGATTCGGGGTTCCCCATGCAGAAGCAGGGCAACCGAGGCCCCGTCGCCACCATCCTTGACGCCCCAGGCTTGCCCGACGGTTGCCTCGGGCAGCGGCGAGGAGGTAAGACGAGGTGGGGAGGGGCCCGCCGCGGTGCGGCTCGGGTTCCCCTGCCGCTGTCGGGGGAGGCGACGCGGGGGTCACGAGAGGAGGGGGGGGGGGTGTCCTACCCTCTGCTAGCCGCCGCTGCCCTCCCTCATCAGCTGGATGAAGTACTCGTTCTTCAGCTTCGACACCATCGACAAGCGACTGCAAGTGAATCCATGGAACCAAGCAGCGAAGTTTAGCGCCATTTTCTGAATGTTTGAAGTCGAAGCGCGTCTCCTTGTTCTAGCCTGCGTGGAGAAATCTGCGACGGAGTCGCTGCGCACGCTTGGGTGGAGCTTCTTGACGGCGACGTTCTCCCCCGAGGCCAGCGCGGCCCTGTAGATCTGGCCTTCTCCGACCTGACCGAAGTTGCCGGCGATGCTGCTCAGCTCGGCCATGGAGATGCAGATGGCCGGCACGTCGATGGGCAGGACCTTGGGCGGCGCGATGCTCCTCGGCGCTGTTATATTGCAGCGATCATATCATATCAGAATTTCCGTCGCCGTGTTCCTAGTTTCCATCAGATTGTAAAAGCAGGTGTAGGACAAAACGGTAGCGATCACTGAACTTGTACGCGTGCACTCAAGAACCTCTTCTGTTCGCTCTTGCTGAACTGTGTTACAAAAACCGCATGGTGCAGTATTGTCTATGGTCTCTCTCAATCTGCAACAGGTTTGTACTGCGCGGCGGGTGCCGGGTGCCGGCTGCGGCCGCTGGCAGGCGCCTCATCCGCTTGAATGTCCGGTCCGATCCGATCGGCCGGTTATGACGATGATAGCACTGCATGTGGAATCTAACATTCTTTAAAAGTTGCTCCCTATTTCTATCTATTTTTTTAACATGCACACTGTCTACATCATCATCACGCCACATCATTCACCGAATGGGCCATGTCAATAAATTTTGAGAAATGTTTCCAGCCGGCAGACCGGCCGAAGCTTTCGGTCGGACCCATGCGGGTCGTGCGATCCCTTTCGATCGTGGGTCTAGCGATCCCCCGCACTGGACACAGGCAGGCCCACACATCTTTTTTTTCAAACAACCTTATCTTCTTCCCCACATCCTCTTCTTTCTTCCCCTCGCAACCTTCTTTCTTCCTCGCCACGAACGACGAAGCTTTGAAGTTTTTGCTACCAGCTGCTTGCACTGGTGCTTCAAACGGCATGGATCGGGGCCGACGTAAAGATGACCGGCGGTGCTGAAACTATTGTCGTCACCAAACTGCAACGACTGCCTGCTGCTAGGAGAGCAGAGATGCCACAGCTACCTGCTACCATGGCCGGAACCGCGTGTATACAGTGCTGCATCCGTGATCTAAAAAAGCTTCAGCCACAGTTGAAAAAAGCTTCAATCATAGATAGAAAAGCTTCAATCGGCACTGCCCAACTAAAAAAGCTTCAACCATAGATAGATTTTGCTACTGCCGGCGAGGGTTTTTGCTACATCCATCACGGCTGAGCTGTGACCTCGTGCCGACGGCGACGATGATTTGCTGCAACCGTTGTCATTTTTTGCTACGACCGATGATTTTTTTTTTGCTACATCCATTCAACGACACATTTTTTTGCTACCATGGAAAGCTGCATCCGGATGTATGTTTCGTTGACGGAGCTACGTCCCCGCGACGACGGAGGTTATTTTGCTGCAACGGTCGTCGGCTTTTGCTACGACCAATGAGAAAAATTGCTACATCCATTAATGGTGCAGATGTGCCGCTGGACGACGGCGACAATGATTTTGCTGGGAACCGAGGGGCCCCCGTGCTACAACCATGGCAGCCCGGGGAGTTGCAACCGCAACGCCGAGAGAGCTGCAAACGGCGGTGCCCCATGCTACAACCATGGAATCGAAAAGCTACATCCAGTCAGGGGGTTTGCTGGAACCGACGGGGGAGATGCTGGAACTAGTTTTGGCCGGGAGCTGCAAACATTGCCGGGGGAAGCTCGAACCAGTGTCGCCGGAAGTTGCAACCGTTGGCTGGAACTGCTGGAACAAGTAGGAAAAAACGCTGAAAACGACAACCACCGGAGCTGCACTCGTGCCACAGTGGCGACCTTTTTGCTGCAACCATCGTCAGATTTTGCTACTACCGGGGAAGAAATTTGCTACATCTATCATAAGAATAGTTGCATGGTGCCACGACCGGCAGACTTTTTTTTGCTGGAACTGGCTACTAGTGGAGCTGCAACCAGGCAATGAAAATGCTGGAACCGTTGCCTACGAAAGCTGAAACCCGTTTCTTTTTTTTTTTTGCTTCAATCAACCGGCACCAGCAAAGCTACATCCGGCTTTCCGTTTTGCTGCAATGATTCTAATGGGCTTAATCCCATGAGACGGCGACGGGGATCAACGGACGGTGCCACCTGTGCGTCGAGCGCTCATGGCGAGGGTGGTGGGGCAGCACAACCGGATGATGCAACCATGGAGTTACGCGCTACAACCGTTGTCGGCCGCTGCCGGGAACGACGCTGCCAGAGCAACGACGCATACACGGCCAGAAGATGCAAGGTGAGGCGCTGATGGCGAGGGGCGCGAACGGCGACAGCGAGGTTGCAAGCGCACAACGACGGCGAGGTAGAGGACGGCTGGGAGCGGGACGGCCCGCAGCGCTTGCCATGGCTCCGCTCACCCGCTTGAATTATCGAGCGAAAAGAAGACGGGGGATGTAGACGATGCAGGGAGGGCTCGATCTGACGGTTCATAGACAGAGTATCGGACGCTTGGGGTGCGACCGGCCCAACTATTGGGCCGGCGCGCCAGCGCCTAGTGTTGTCCATAATTTTTTTTTAAATCGTTCGGTTTAGTGGAATGGTGCATCTGCCGTTTAGTTTGAGGCTTTCAATAGCATAAGTGTGCGTCGCACGTCTAACCCTTTCCCTTCCACTTTCCCTTCCTCTTCAGTTTCCTTCTTTCTTCTTCCAATTAATTGGTAACCGAAGAGCATCAAAAAGGCAACCATTATTTTTTCCCTTCTTATTTGATTTCTTTCCCGCTGTTTCCAATCTCAACCACGGAAACCACTAATCCCCCTGCACTCAAAATTGAACTAGGTTACCAACATGTCATGCTGGGGTGTGCTGGCCTGGTGAACTCATCGAACTTAAGCCAGGCTAGTGGGGTTAGAATCTTGGAGAATTACTGGAACAAAATTCTAACCTCACTAGCCTGTGTCCTCTGTATTAACCAAGACAGGCTAGTGTGTCCTCTCGATGAATTTTGTTCCAGTGATTCTCCAAGATTGTATGCAACATGATTGCTCCCCTGGTTAATCCCAACCATGGAACCAAAACTCAAAGAGCTCGATTAGCATTTTTTAGCAACAGCAACATGGGAAATCTAAACGCAACCAACCCTTGTCTGGTAGGCCGGATAGAGAGGAAACCACTAGCTTTCGCGGGCAGATTACCAACGAGGCAAGAATTAACCTGAAAGCAGATCAAACAGGGAGATACGGCAAAATTATAGGTTTGATACCATATACCAATACTGTCACTTATCATCACCACAACGATAGGAGGCTGAAAGCAAAGTAAAATAGGGTTCAACGACAACCGAGACGATAATAGCATAAACTCTGACACAGTGATGGATTCAACCGGTCCATGAAACTGACTAGCAGCACTCTAGTTCTTGATCTTCTTCTTGGGCCTCAGCTGGTTGCTGTGGCCACACTTCTTCTTGCGGCAGTTGACAGCCCTTGGATGCAGGCGCGCGTAGCATCTGCAGATAAGTGAGAACATTAGAACATGTAAGATTAAAGTGTTACTGTATTAGACTAGACTGTACACAGGGTTGATTTACATGTAAGATTAAAGTGTTACTGTATTAGACTAGACTGTACACAGGGTTGATTTACATGTAAGATTAAAGTGTTACTGCATTAGACTAGACTGCACACAAGGTTAATTTACAGGTGGCTTAATTTATGTGTAGAAGGCGATCAAGGAAGTAAAATAACCAGCAGAATTGAAAAGGTAGGAAAGGGCAGACAAAACGACCTAAAACCCAAACATTATCAATCAGAACTCAGCATGAAACAAGGATTCCATTGAGGCTCTCAGTGAAGGCCAGTTTTTTCCACATGGGAAGATCCTTCAGAAGAGACCCCACCCGCCTCCCAGTTGATGATCCCCAATCTCAGCGCATCCTTCTATCTCAGCCTTTAGATGAAGAACAAAGTTGCAGAAACTAAATCCCGCTTAGTTCTTCACCCAAAGGAATAGACTTCACAAGGAACCGCCAAGAGAGGAAGACCATACAGTAAAAGAGGGAAGGAGAAATCACTTCATCCAGTCTTCAAATTCGGTGTGGTTAAAGCAAGAGTAGTCATCATCGAGCCAATAATTCATTGTCATGAATGCCAAACTCTGAGCAGCAAAACATGCAGAGCCCACAAGAAACGCCCACTTGAACTCTTCACTGAAGAATGCTCTACATTATCTCATTACAATACCCAAATCCACAAATATAACAAGAAGACATGATACAAAGTTCAAGTTAACAAATAAAACAGCAAAAAGAATAATGCAAGCGATGGGTATAGATTTTCTTGATGAGAAGATTGAAATTGGTGGTACATCAAGGTAGCTAAAGAGTACATTGTGGGGTTTATTTTACCAGTTTAAAAGTCAGCACAGCATGATAAAACCAAACTGAAACTATGTACCCTGACGCATCATGCTGCGATGACTAACTCATTTCCAAAAGTAAGCCGCTGCAATAGCTAAGAGAAGTTTATACAATGAAAACGTGAGCTCATATTTCTTTTCTTATTCTTGAAAACAACTGCGTTGCAAGCCATCTAAAAACATATTCTAGTGATTGTAATCTTAGACTAACTTCTTCTCTTCGATGAATGATATCAAATCTCAATATATGTGAATCACTCATAAGAGAAATTTACATCTAACAGAGAGATGGATTAAGTCTGAAAAAGCATGCGGTTAAACCTAAAGAAACGAACTGGCATGTCGAGGACTGCACTTACTTGCGGCAGATCATCTTCTCCTGGTTGTACTTGCGGGCAAGAGCCTGCAGGGACGGCTCGATGATGCCTCCACGGAGCCTGAGGACGAGATGGAGGGTGGACTCCTTCTGGATGTTGTAGTCGGCAAGGGTGCGGCCGTCCTCCAACTGCTTTCCGGCGAAGATCAGCCGCTGCTGGTCCGGCGGGATCCCTGCCGGAACAAAACCGAGATTAGCCACGGCGGCCGGCAGAAATGAAAGAAAAGGGAAAGAAGAACGTCTGAGAAGAAGACACTCACCCTCCTTGTCCTGGATCTTGGCCTTGACATTGTCGATGGTATCGCTGCTCTCAACCTCGAGGGTGATGGTCTTCCCCGTGAGGGTCTTGACGAAGATCTGCATTTTGGCGGAGGGTGTTGAGGCGGCGGCGGCGGCGGGTGAGGCATTTTATAGGGGTCTGGGAAGCTAGGGTTTGGTCTGAGGAAGAGGGGTGCGTGGGGAGTGGGCTGGGCTGCTGAACGGGGCTTTGGAGCCCGAGAGTGCGCAGCTGGACTTGTGAATTCATTGTTCTACCAAGGCCCAGTGAGTGGGTGCTCTGCGTCCTGTGTCGAGTGAAGAAATGGACTACCTCAAAAAAAAAGTGAAGATATGGACAGTCTCATTTCAGAAAGAAAAAAATGGACAGTCTCGTGGAAAGAAATCTACAGAAGCGGGCGAGTTGCAGATTGGAGAGTGAGCGAGCACAACATGACCAATGTTGGAGTCGGCGAGCGCAACATGGTCTATGTTGCAAACCGCCAGGTCGTAGTGAACGACCAACATGGTTAGATCAGACGCATGTCACACACGAAATCTAACGGCTCAAAAGGCGGCCAGTCTTCTCGTTGCGTGAGCCGGCGAACGCCTAGCATCGTCCAAAAAATGTGTTTCTTGTTTCCTTTTCATTCCTTTTTTGCTAGGGACAATTAATTGTCATTGCTATATGATATCCCAAGCATTGTTACAGAGATTTTGCAACGATAATTGGTGAGTTGATAAATTTCTAAAATTGTGGAAAAAAAACTGAGACATACCACCAACATACGCAAACATGTCCGGCCAAGCAGGTCTGGCGGCTGGGGGTCAGGAGGCGGCTTGGCTGGCGACGGGGTCGGCGTTGCTGCTGACCATAAACCGTGCGGGAGAAGTGGTGGGAGACGAATGGCACCCTTGCTCGGTGTTGCATCCTCCTGATGGTGGTTCGGAAAGCTTGATGCTGCTGCGGATGAGAGAACGAGATGGGTGTTGGCTGGAAGGAGAGGAATGGCGTCGTGGTGTTTGTTGCATCCTTCGTCGGGAGATGAATGGCCGGCAGACGTTGCATCCTCGAGGAGACGAATGGCGTCCTGCTTGGTTGCATCCTTTCGATGGGAGAAGAATGGCGCCGCTGCGGGAGTTGCATCCTCCGTCCAGTGGGAGACGCGGATGCAAGGTGGAAAGCACGTCTTGCTTGCCGGGGAGGTGCGGTTGGCCGTGGAGGCAGGGGTAGTGGTTTGATGTGTAGACTGATCAGATCCTGGACTCGAGCTGTGTAGGTAAGACGGCCGGCGAAAGTCGTACTCCGGCTGTGTCCGGAGTCGTCGATGGCGGCGCCTTCTGGCGTCGCTCCCTCGTTGGAGACATCGATGTAGCTGCTCCCACCTTGCTTTTCCTGTCGTGCTCCGGGGGAAACCTTTGATCTAGTTTAGATCGGACGATGGCGGCGCTATCTGGTGTCGCGTTCCCTCTTGGGGGCATCGTCCTGGAGGTGGATCTGATTAGGGGGACCCGTGGCAGCTGTGTAGGTGAGACAGCTCGTGAAGATGTGTGTGTTGTATGCTGAAAGGCACCGTTTGTATGGTTTTTGGGTCCGGTTTCCCTCATAAACTGGATCAAACTTCTTTCCTCTGATCAATGAATTTGGTAGAACTACTACCAACATTCGAAAAGCAGGCCCCCATAGGGTATTCGGACCACGCAATAACACTAGACTGGACGAACCGAGCAAACATGACATCGACCACCTAGCTGGCCACACATCCAGCTGACAAGGGCAGAGTAGAATAACGGCCCGGGTCCGTGAAACGCCAACACTGCCATGTACTTCAAGAATAACTCCTAGTCGACGTGATTGGCAACCGGCGATATGTGTAACCTAGGTACCCCCGGTGCATATATAACCCGTGGGGTCTATTTTTTAGGGACATGATTACTAAGCCCTAGGGTTTAAAACACAACATAGGATCTCGAGGTAAGTCATCTTGTACTTGATACTCCATCATAACAATATAATCAAAGCAGGACGTATGATTTTACCTCTTCGAGAGGGCCCGAACTGCGTAAACAGCGTCTTCTGTTTTCCCCCTGTTACCAGTGTTCCTAGATCAACAGTTCGGGACCCCCTACCCGTGATCTGCCGGTTTCAGCACCGACACCTAGCCTCGCTCGGCGCACGCGGGCACGCCGAAAAGCCCCTCTAAAAGGTGGCCCCGGTCGCGTACGCGGCTCACATGTAATGGACCCGCAAGGAAATTCGACCGAGCACGAGGCATCTGCGCACATCGAACTGCCGGGAGATCGCCAGAAAAGGCATCGGCGCGAGGCCTCGCACACCGAAGCCCCCAAGAGACCCCAGGAGACAAGTACTCTCCAACATCCTTTATTGGAGTATTTACTGTCAATCCGAGCTAGTTCACGTAAGTTTATTAAGCTCCCGATGGGATGCAATCACCTCAAGTTTGGAGATACCAGTAGTACGCAGCCAGGAACCTAAGGTCCTCCGATGCGGCCATCGGCGCGAGGAAGATGTCTACTTAACGCCCCCCCCCCTCCCCATGACGATTTCATGGATTAAGACTTATACTTCGGGGTGAAAACCTAGAATTTGGCCTTTGATGGTTGAATCCGGTGACAGCGGCACTTGGACGGCGTTTCCTTCCTAGAGGCGTTGATGATGAAGAACTGAGGTTGTTGTTGAAGAACCTCATGGTCCTTGTGGTGTCCATAGATGGTTGGTGCGGATATTGTTGATGTACTAGTTTGTCGACCGCTGTTTTGATTGCTTCGGGTTTTTTTTCTGGCTTAGGTATAGCTTTGGTCTTGTATGACTTTGTTCTTTGCCGGTGTTTTTGTGTGTGTGTGCGTTAGTGTTGGTTGTGTTCATTCTAACTATGCAAAAGCTTGTGTGTGCTCACTGTGTCTGTATGCACTTGATGTTTCATTTTGAGTAAATAAAATTCACCCTTTGTCGAAAAGTACAATCACTGGTAGAATACCCGTGCGTTGCTACGGGCAAATGATGGTAAATAAATTAAAGGGCAAATATACCTAAAAACAATTCTTGTGCCCGTCACTTTTATTTTTGACCATCAGATCAATATCCAACGTTTAGGAGCATGTCACCAAATGTTCATCTTCCTCCCACACCATCTTCCTCCTCTCCCATGACGGCTCCTCCTCCTTTCCCGTGGCCTATTCAGGCCTAACCGCCTGCCTCCACCCTCCGCGGCCGCCTGCTATCGCTGCCCTGCCCTCGCATCGACCTCCCCCATCGTCATCTTGCCCCCCTATTAAGTTTTGGACTTGCTCTCGCCGGCTCCCACTCGTACACGGCTCAGCATCGCCGTCCCCATCTTCGGCCTCGTGCAAAGCAAAAAGTGACTAACGCAAAAAAATCAAGCCTGTGAGATTTCGCAAAACCGATAAATCAAATAACGATACTTTCAGATACGTACTTCACGTTGCAAATTTATCATCATAAGTGACTAATCAATGAACAATTATTTGATGTCACAATGATGTATTGTCCTTCACCTGAAGGTCCACACGAAGCATAGTCTCTTCTATCATTTTCTTTACCAAATCAATTACAACCTATGTTCCTAAAAAAATGGAAGTGATTGTACAAATTTATCAGTTACTCGTGTCTAGTGGCTTGTCCTCTTTGTCACAAGACTACACCAAACATTGAGCTTCACAATAACCCCAACAATCATCCTAAATGTGTTACCATCTTCCTCGACAACAATTGTGTAGAGCTGCCAAAGTTGCGGACTTTAAAAAAATACAATGAACACGAGCATTGATGGAAAGGGAACAGTTGCATCACGATGGCGATCTAACCTTGGGGCGCAACATCGCTTTCATCCTATGCCAACTCCTTTGGTGACTACCTCCTTTCTCTCAGCTTCATCGCCTCCATCCCACCTTCCACATCCCCCACCTTTCTCCTTCACTTGTCGCATCATCTTAATCGTTGTCTACCATTCGTATCCCCTAGCTCGCTACCATCATTTCCTCTTACTCCAGCTCGACAAGTGTGTCTCAACATCACCTTCCATAACGCCTAGCACAACAACAACAAAAAACATAGACCACCTTCATGACGAGTGAGAAACTACAAATTAGGAGTCACCTTTGCCCTATTGGAAGATATTTTATGTTAAGGTCAAGCAAAATAGCAGAAAAACATACACTGAAACTTGATAAGTTCAAAGGCGAAAAAACAACATTATTTGAATTTCACCATCGTTTGGAAATCTTCCTTTAACTTTAGCAAGTCTATGGAAACTTGACCATGGATGCATTCCTAAAAATTAAACATGTTCCAGCATGACCATCAACATCCCTCGACCAACAACTTAGCTACACAAAATGTGTATAAAAAAGTTAGCAATAATTGTTCTATCGTTTGACTCGAAAATGTAACAAGCAAATTTTCCTTGCAAGTAGGTTTACCCTCCTTAGAAAAATAAACTACAAACAGCTCCATGTCTAAAAAATGGGATGGGAGGTCCATTTAACACAAATGAAGTAGCACACATCATCATAAGTACAATCTGCAACCAACCGTAAATTAACTTTTTTTCTAATGACCGAAGTTGTACAATAAGTTATTCTCATACCTCTTCTTATTGACTCTGAACTGAAAATCAATTACTCATCTGCTCCGCCACACGCACCCTCGCCGCATCTTACCATGGACTGCCCACGGGGATAGGCTAACGAAGGTCCTAGTGATGCCAAACATGACCTGCCGCCGCCGGAGCCGACGGGCAACACGTAGTTGCACTGCCACAACACCTCGGCCTGCATCCAAGGCTTCATTGTACTAATCTATTCTCAAGTACCATCTCCATAAGAAAACTATTGTCAGGTTCAGAGAGCATACCCAAACTGAGTTATGAAACAAAAATAAAGAAAAAACAAATCAAACCTCTATTGGGAAATTGCATGTGTGGGCCTGAGACCACATCATTGTTCCGGTCAGAGTACTGAACATGGAGAGCAATATGCACTCTGCATGCTAAATGAGGCACACAGAATGAATATCCTAACAATGATGAGAACTTTAGAAAACCGTTAATGACATGGAGTTAAGATCG